AATCTGTATTTTAATATGCATATTACGATCAAGTAATTTATTTCAGGTTTAAGATCTCTATGAATATATTTAATGAATGGAGATATTTTAATGCCATTGTAATTTCAGAGATATAAAATTGAGTAACTTTTTCACTAAAAGAACCATATTTAATAAAATAATATTTCATATCTCTATTAGGACATAATTCTAAAACATAAACTACAGGTTATTATTTACTTTTTTATTTTTTAAATAATTAAACAAACATAATGATGTTGGATTTTGAAATGTATAAAATAATTTAACTATATATGGTGAATGACACATTGACATAATATCTCTTTCTCTTTTTACTGTTGCATGTTTCTTTAATTTTATAATTTGTTGTTTGTCAAGAATTTTAGTTGCATATTGTTTATTATCATCTTTATCTGTAGTAAGAATAACAGCACCAAATGATCCTTCTCCTAATGTATCTCCAAAGATAAAATTATTTTCTCTTTTAGCCATTTCAATTTTTAAATTATTTTTTAGTTACAGTGATTATATAGTTTATATTTTCTTTAATTCTCTTCTATTTAATTTATATGGTTTATTTTATTACCTTTTTTTTTGGTTTTAATTTTTCTATTTATTTTATGAAATAAATGAAGTTCTATTCTCACAGTCCATTCTCTCTTCTATTCCTTTTCAAAATACAAAACTAATCTTTTATTTTTATGAACACTCTTTTTGTTATTGACTCAACAACTCTTTTTCTATTCATCTAGTTTCTTTTTATTATTTTCTTTATTCTTATTAATACTCTCATTTAATTATTTTAAATAACATAGTTTAAACATACTGTCTTCATACAGAAATATTCATTGTAATATTACTTTTGTGTTGTTAGTTAATTTTAAAAAAAAAAGTATAATTTATGTACAGAAAGAAGAGTAACAGAATTGGTTAGTCTTTAATAAGAACCTTAATTAAGTCATTAACAAAAATATGATGTAGAAAAACAGATTTTTATTGATATTTTAATACAAGTAGTTTAAGTATTGTTTTAGTTATGGTTTTTTTTCACATTAATAATAAAAGTTTAAATAAATATGAGGGAGTTTAATTACAAAGAAATCAACATATCAAAACAAAATTTCAATGAGATAGGATTTAGAATAAATAAAAAAGTGAATAAAAATAATTTTTGGTTATCTTTTATTAATGGGATAAATTTCATTTTATATTTTCAATGGAACTCCATAAAGGTGAATTACATTATTTAGAATAATTTATATTTAAATACTGTCTTTATTAAAGAGAAAATACTCCAAAATAATAAAAAACATAAAAACAAATTTTGATAAATAACTCCAATGAAAAAAAAGTTGAAAAATCAAAACTATAATTTCAAATTCTTTCTGATGTATCCATTTCTCAACATTCCTCCTAATTATCCAAATCATGGCTATCCTATGTATAGACATTCTGACCCATATCAAAATAATTATTCTTGTAAAATCCCTGAAAGAAGTCATTTATATGCAAAAAATATTAAACCACCTCAAATTGCTTTGTCTAGTCAAACAATTTACAGATTTCGTTCATTTACTCTTACACTTACTGTTTCTGAAGATTGGAGAATTATTAATCATCTTCGTCCTGAAGATGTAATTAAAGCAGTTATGTCTGCTACTTGTCATAAAGAAAGTATTATTGAGAGTCATTTAAATGATGAAGTAAAAAGTTGTAGAATATGCCAATCAGATAGAAGAATAATTGAAATAGATCATTGTGATCAAAATCAAATTGGTCCAGTAACTACACAAGATGGTTTAGAGAAATATACATTCAATAAATGTAAATCTTATTGCTCTTCTTCAAGAAGTCATCACCATAGTCGTCTTTGTCTTG